TTGGTGTCATTGGCAAATCTGCTGATTGTGCACTTGATGCCATCATCCATGTCACTGACAAAGATGTTAAACAGTACTGGTCCCAGTACCGACCCCTGCAGAATGCCATTCGTCTCTGGTCTCCACTCAGACACTATGGAATGCCGCTCGTTAGTGGTCTCCACTCAGACATTGAGCCATTGACCACCACTCTCTGGGTGTGACCATCCAGCCAGTTCCTTATCCACTGAGTGGTACATCCGTCAAATCCATGCCTCTCCAATTCAAAGACAAGGATGTCGTGCGGGACAGTGTTGAACGCTTTGCCAGAGTCCAGGTAGATGACATCAGTTGCCCGTCCTGTATCCACCAAGGTCATGACCCCATCATAGAAGGCCACCATATTTGCCAGGCACGATCTGCCCCTGGTGAAGCCATGCTGGCTGTCACCAGTCACCTCCTTGTTTTCACTGTGCCTTTGCATTGTTGCCAGGAGGATCTGCTCCATGATCTTGACAGGCACAGACACAGACTTTTGACATAGTTTACAGTTTTGCTAATACAATCAAAATCTTTTCTCTGGCTTTAGATATGTAACAGTTTCCAGTAATTCTCAGTGATGAACAGTGATTTACGGCCAAAGCCAGATGAAAACAGTTACTAGAGGAACATTAGAATAAATTAATACTGTATTGTGCTTATAACTATCATGACAGTCTCTGCTTTTTGTAAGTATGTATTTATATCTATCCATACATAACTATACAAAAGTATGCATGGTTCAAATTATTTCTAATTACCTCCTACTTTTAAAAATAGCCATGGATTATACTTACCAGCTCTTAACGGTCTAGGGACTCCTCCAACAAAAATTGTTTTTCGAGGATCAAGCGGCTGGGAACCATCCATCACAAAGTCACTATCACTTAGATTCCAGGGACGGATTTGAACCTATTCAATTGGGAAAGAAAACGTTATGCTACTTTAAGTTTCACTACATCATGGATATATGTTCATCAGCCTATACAAACTGTCACACAGTCATAACCCCATTAGCTTAGCATGTCTAGGTGCTCTATTTTAATCCTATTAATTCAAAACACTACGATTTTTAAATCATCCAACTGTTCCAGATGTTGAGCTCTGCCAATGGCAATTTGCTTTTGATTATTTTCATCGTCATCATTTCAAATGCAGCTTTAGACAGATGGCAGCTATAGCCTGCGGGCAATCTACTGTTTACTTACTGGCTTGTCCTTGATAGTAGGACTGGAAACACATAGATAGAGCTTTCCATCTTCTTCAATACAGGCATCAATCAAGGCCTGAACAGAACTCTCTTCTTGGAACAGGAGGAATGCATAACCTGGAAAAAAAACCCCAAACAAACGTGTTTTGTTTTTTTTTTTTTCCTTCTACCTTTCTTTTTCTTAATCATCTTTCCCAGTGACTTTTCCATACAAATGTTGTTTACTCCAAAAGTAAAAGAAAGTCATACTAATTCTTTGTTATTTATCATCTTCTTTTAGCTATGTACTGCCTTGCCATGATCAACAGAACTCCAGGCAAATACTTTTATCCTTAAAATAATTGTCAAAAGAGACTAATAACTGAATAAAAGCAAACATGTCTGCTCTATCATGTACTGGAAGTCTAGGCTGAGCATAATTCATTGGCAGCAATGAACATTATACAATGAAAATCCGACTTGGCACAAAGGACTAATCTCTATTCTAGAGATTAAATCAAAGTACTTTGTTACATAAGTGACCCAGCAAACCTCCCAAACACTACAAAAATAGGAATTTAAAATGCTTATTTAATGCTACAGTAAAAACAGCCAGACAAGCAAAGAATGTCACATGTTAAAGTACTTCAACAGTTACAGTATAAATGATATATATAAAATTTGTTACTTTACAGGTGCCCGATAGCACAATTACGGTTGTATTCTAAATTGAATTTTAAAAGCACCATAAATCCCCATTTCTTTCTGAGATTACTACCAAGTGTGGAATTTTCACATGAAGTTATGTTTCATTACTTGGATGGAAAAGGAAATGCTGAAGCAGCTGCTCTAGAGCAGGCTTGGCAAGAGCGAGTGTGGCTGCTTTACCAAGCCTTTTGGAAATGATACTGCTTTGCTGAGAGGTGCTAGTTAACCACTGGCAATTTCTTACTGCAAACAGACACTGTAAATCCTCAAGGCAAAGGTGGCAGGGTGCATCTTGAAGAGCATTAAAGAATCAAAGTGTTAGGAAGAACATAAGATTAGAGAAACAAATGCATGCCGGATTTTAGATACATGGGGACAGAAGTAGGATTTAAAGAAAAAGCTGTAAGGCCTAAAAAGCTGTAAGGCATAACTTGCACCTCATTTCTTACCCCTCATACTACAGTCCTATCACAGCTATCTATAAGGGACACATGACAAGGTTACACATATTTTTATCTAAATCTTATTTAATTTCTTAACCAATATGCTGCAGGGAATCTTTGGGCTTTGGCTGAAACGTTTCTTGTGACACACATTTTTCATTGGTGAACAATAATGTTTAGTGACAACCTATTTAACTTCAGCTTAATTAGTAATTATTTAGATTCACAATCCGTTTTAATGTGTGTATCTTTCAGTATTTATCTTAGAATTCAAAATCCACATATTATCCATGCCAAACTCACTCACTGAATGAGGGCATGTGCGGACTGGCATGGGTGAGAGCAGATCCATGCCCTTACTTGTGTGGAAGTGAGGCACACACATTCCTGTTCGACTGGGGAGCTCAGTACAAGAGTGATGGGAGTGCAAAAACTTGATTAATCAAAGGGAGGGCTAAATACACATTATACCAACTAAGGAATCAGACATACAAAGTAAGACCAACAGCCGGAAGTGAGTCACATGTTTTTCCAGATGCTGATTTTCCATTGGTTCTTATCCTAAAGCCAATCAATGGCATCGCCATATAGCTCCTGATACATAAAGATGGTCAGTGTCTCCGATGATCCACGACCTGTATATCTGCAGCTATTAATATGCTTAACTGTAGCAGCTTGTGAAAAGATAGAAAATCCATAGACAAGAACTTGATGAGGGAACAATTAGGAATACTATATCCCACCACACTTGAAATAAAAGGAAAGCAATACCAGAACTATACATTAATACTACTTTCTTAACGTTATTTGCAAAACATGTACTCATGTCTGGGTTGATTCCACTTGATTTTAAGCATCAGACAGGCTTGTTTCATGAGTGTATCTGTACTACTCCCCTTGTGAAGACACAGAGAAAGTTATGGTATAGTCTGTACTGTCAAATTGGTCTGGCTGTAGTTTTGCTCCACAGCTCTACTCCTTCAATGATTTACAATGCATCTAGCCTGGAGGAAAATAACCAGTTCTCTTGGTCAAGAGACTCGGCTAGAGAAGATAATTTGCTCAGGGCCCACATTTTATAGCCAGAGACAGCCAATCCCTTCCAAAGAATGCTAGACTTGCACAGTCTGCATACAAACCACTCTCCATCACTTGCCCTGGACCAGGGAGCATTTCCTGGCATGAATCAATTATACATTAGCTATAGACTTCTCCAAAGAACACCGGTTACACAGGCAACCAGCGTATATTCATTAGCTAGAAAGTGCTTGCAAAGGGAAATTACTCCCTTATCTTAGGTATTTCATTCAGACATCATAAATCAGGGCTGCCCTCGTTACTACAGCTACCACATGCCAATAGCCATACCGCCCAAACTATTCTTATCCCTTTCTGCTTTCTCAATATATGCTTTTATCGGATTATGTTTCACCTCAACATCCATAACTCATGAACTATTGTGGATGTTTAACGTCTGCAAAGCTAGTAGGATGGTGGTTAAGTCACGTGCATTAAATATGATGATAAACAACAAATGCCTAACTAGGCTTTTTGGCGTAGTCCTGAACTACAATTACCATGTGTGATAGAAAGTACATGTCACAGTGAAACACAGTGGGGAGGTAGGGTGAAGAGTAGGAGGTGTTTTACTGTACTGAAACAACTTAATTCCCTAGTTTCTTGTGTTTGGTGTACCACATCAGTCATTTAACTTTTAACAGCTTCACACCCAGTAGCAATGCAAGTCTGTTTACAATGGAAAGGCAAAGCTACTCAATAGTTTTCTTTGAAGGAAGCTGCTCCTTCCTCTGGGTCATTCGTACACCAACAGTAGCAGGTCATGAGCAGGTATTACTTGCCAAGAGGCAAAGCTTGTATGTTTTGTACGTATTTCACAAGGCAAAAAGTGTTAGAAGAAACAGAGACTTAACAAAAATTTCTTATTCATGTGCACCTCTACCAGAATTTATGTCTCCTTAACTCCTGTTAAGTGTTAATTACTTGACTAGATTCCTCTGCATACCACTGAAACTATTACTAATACTCCTATTTTCAAAGGCAAGCAGTGTGGGTGACTTTGATAATACCTGTCCTCAGAAAATGATCTCAAACAATAAATAAACGTTTCTGGAGATGAAAACTGGCTTTAGAACTACATGTCCTGAGATCTAAAGATACTGTATTAGTTATCATTGTCCTTACTCTGAGCTGACATCTCTCTTAATCAAACAAGATCAGGAAATCAAATATTTTGTTTCTTTTTAATGTATTGGGTCAGCTCTGGAAACAGAAAGCCCATCAGATAAGACTAAAGAGTCCTAGCTACATTACCAAATCAGACTGTCATAAGAATTTAAAAAACCCAAACCAATAACCACCCCCTTCCCCTCCAACCTATAAACAGAATCAGTGTTTTCATTTTTTGTATTTATTACATAAAGAACAAATCAAAAGCAAATCATTCTAGACTAGATTCACATTGGTAGCTAGCACAATTTTCTGAGCAAGGTGTAATTTCTTTATTTCACAGTAACATGGAAGTTTACCAAGAGGAGAAAGGACACTTCTGCTATGCATACTCTGTGTAGAAATCAGAGTGCAGCTTTCTGTTCTATCAAACTCCAGTTAACTCCTATCACTACTGGCTTAGAGGAGTCAAGAAAATTAGTGCATGCCAGCATGACACCGTCCATGCCCGTCAGTACAGCTGTATTTTGGAGTTGGTTCCTCTACTGTCCTGACAGACTGCCCAGAGGAGACTAAATGGCATCAGTGCAGTGCAATTCCTGCCCACAGAATGTTGTACCTTAGCTTAAATCAGCAAGAATCAGTGTAAACTGCAGGTTAATACAGACTGTGGATCTACACTTCATGACGGGAATAGATCGCATTTGGGAAGGACACACAACATTTAATCTATTCCTCTCTAAAGAGATATCATCCCCATATTAATTAAATTTAATCCTTAAAACATAAATCTTTCACTCAGTCATCTTTGATATAGAATTAGCTCCAAAATATGCCTGAAGTGAAAAAATGCAGGCTGATAGAGTTGTAATGTAGCTATTAGCCGAGGCACTTCTGAGCAGGGGGAGCAGGATTCACTTCAAGATCCAAACACCTATTTCCATACTCCTGCAGTGGCTGTGTCCAAGCTCCTGCTGTAGTACAGAGACCTGGCAGACGTAAGCCAGTGGTGCCTGGAGGGTTACTCAGCGAACCAAGTGGGACACGGAGGTGTCTTGCACCATTTATTCTCTACAGGACTTTGCCTAACCTTCAGCTGGTGCTGCAAAATGGTGCGGGGCTTCTACAGGTGTCGCATCGCATTTGCCAGACCTGTGTAAATCTTCTAGCTATCCTCGGTTTGGGTAAACGAATCAAGCTCAATGTGCTTATGTTACAGTGACCTGAATAGTCCTCTATACTCCACCGACTCGACTGGCCACATTCCCATTGATTAAAGGAAGCTTAGACACTAATCCCACATGCAGACACCTACACTTACCTGCCTGAATCCAGAGTTCAATCCTAGCCAGTGTGATCAAATGAGCTCATAACAAGTTAAAAGGAACTTGGATGGACCTGGGGTCTTGCTTCTTAAACTAGAAACAGAACATTTTCAACCTAGTTTTTTCAGTCAGTTCCTAATTAGCATTTAAGAACCTTGAATAAAGGAAGCTACTGCACAACTGCCGTGATAGAAGGCAATAGAAACACCCAGAAAACGCTGGGGATACTGTCCTGTTTAAATCAGATTATCCTCTGATATGGACTATAAATAGTACAGAGTACACAAATAACTGGGCGTATTTTGACAGGCTTTCTTTGGAATGGCATATCCTCATGGCATCATTTCTTTGAACACTTCAGTATCTTAAGAAGGAATCCTCACCTCAGCAAACTGTTTCGGACATGGGTATTTTTCCATAAATAAGTATATTTGCCAACTACGTAATAACAGCAGTTACGATAAACAGTGGCAAGTCAGAAGGGAAGGAATTCTCCATTACAGCTGGCAGATCACTTACAGACTTTGTACTTTGATCTCAACAGAGTAACTTTTTTCTGCTTCAGAACAGTTTCCTTGTAAAACTAGTGTGAAGTTTTTAAAATTGCTGTTTTCTTCAGGCCTGATTTTGTGGTGAACCAATACAAAATGTAATTAGTTAAGAACAAGCAGTTGGTGTGTCTCAGGAGGAAGCCAGCCCTGATGGATCAAGACACTTTTTGCATTTCTTCAAGCAAGGAAATTCTTATTATGAACTTGGCCTTCCCTCAGGACTTTCTGTAAGCAGAGAGCCTGAAAGGAACCACAGCCTGGAAAACTGAACAAGAGCAAAAACAAAAAGCAGGCTGTATCTCTTCACCACAGAGAAGATTATTACATAAACCAGTCCACGACTGAGTAATTCTGAGATGTCTTTGGAAAGTAATACTCTGTCAAATCTCTAATAAGACTGAACAAACAAAACCAGATACACTGAATTGACTCCATGCAGAGTAAAGATTAGAAATTGGACATTAAAAGTAAAAGAAAAAAACCCCAACAAAACCCCACAACCTCCTTGGGCTAATATAGTATATAGTTCTAAATAGCTGATTACTGATCAATCTCAAAGCTTTCTTAGTATTTAGCCTATCTTAGCAGTTTCAGACATCTTATTAAATATATGTATACACAGTTCTTGCCTGCACATGCAAGTAATACTTAAGAAAGACAAATTTTTAAGAAATTCTTCTACAAAATAGTGATAAGCCATATCCATTGCACTTATAAAAGCAGATATAAACACAGTAATATTCAGCAGTTTATAGTAACCTATATTTCTGGAGTATCTATAAAGAGAAACCTACACTGTATTTAAAATGTGTTAGGCTGCATTACAAAACAATACTGAATAATGTAGTAAACTGAAAATTACAATAAAGTTTTAAGACTGAAGAACAGTGTGTTATTAAATTTCAAATAAGGATCAGCAGTTAATCATGAGGAAACAACACTCAGTGCACAAAAGTTTCCTGAAGTAATTAGAATAACACATTGAAATCTTTCTCTGAATTTTCTGCTTTAAAGAAGCTCTGCTTACCATATAGATTTTTAAATTGCGGCAATTATAAATATTCCAACTTTATAAAAAAGCTTTATTAAATGATGAAGTCTGGAAATACATCCTTAAGATGTTCAGATACTGAAACAGGACTATCTCCTTTGAAATGAATGCCGCAATTCACTCCTTTCAGGTAAGAATATATTACATCTTCCCTCTTCTATATAATCATCACAGACTTTGCAAGATGCATCTTCCTCAGAGTTCCTCAAGAATTTCTTTTGGTATTTTATGGAGAGAGAGACACTCCTCAGGATAATAAGATTTAGCTTGACAGTGGCTTTGTCTATCGGGCTGACAATCAAAAAAGTCGAAGTCTCTTTGTCTGTCTTAGAATTTACGTGTAGTATTCATAAATAATATTCAAATACTTCCAATTCTTTTTCCCCACTCCTTAGAGGACCATCTGGGATAACAATACCATCTCTTCCCCAGAATAGATGGTCAGATAAATAAATGAAGAATCAATTTATAAAGGCACTATGCCTACTTTTGTCACTTCCAGGGAAGCAATGCATTGCTGCATTCTCTACAAAATGAATAACCTCTGTATTGCTTACATATCTGGATCAGATTTTTGCATTTATTTTCTATGTACCAACACATGATTGTATGTGTATAGAGATATGCTACTAACAGCAATAGTAGAAATAGTTTAAAAAAACCCCAGTATTTAACCATTTATTTTAAAAAAAGTGCTTCAACAGGAAGTTCACATCCTAAAACTGAAATAAACACGACACTGATTATATGGATCAGATATCCAAATGTATCCTGAATCCTGCCTGTAACTTCCTACAAAAATTTTTATCTAAGATACAGTCTTAAAAATTTGATCAAATTTCAGTTTTGGAAGCCAGAAAGAAATGCAAATACAGAACTTAGGATTAATGACACACAGAACTATATAACACGGATCTGGTCTATGGGAAATTAGAATATGAAAGTTCCTTCAGGAGTCCAGCACTGAACCAGGCACAATACTAAAAACACCCCGCTCAGGTTTTAGACTTGGTGTGTAAAGTAACCATGTCTGCACCTGCATCGAAACGGCAGAACTAAGAGTTCACAGGGCTTGTGAATTAGACCCTTTGGAGAAAGATGAGACAGTTTGCTAGAGTAAGATTTGCACCCAGTGACAGGTCAGAACCTTCCAACTCTCTTACCTTTTGGTGGAAAATAGGACTTGCTTTCTGCTTTGTGAGGCCAGTCTACTACCAAAGGCCCAAATCGTCTGAAGCTAGCAGTAATTTCATCTAAAAATAGGTATAATATTTGCAGTTAAAATAAATGACAGAACTCAATGAAATAGTACAATCAAGCAAAGACCTTTCTTTCTAGCATAGGCTGACATTTCACAGGGAAAAAAGGAACAGAATTTCCAACTTTCATGAACAAGAAACTTAAACAGACACATTGTCCAAAGCGTTAATATTTTGCAATATTTTTCTAGTGATTTTAAGCTTACGTTTGTGGTTTTACTTTTTAATAACTGGAGCATTTCAGAAGCATATGGGCAACTAAAGGCAGTGGTGAGAACTGTTGTGGTACTTCCTTAAATTCAGAATCTGTTTTGATTGCAATCAAGACAAACAATTTACTGTTGAGTGATGTACAGTTCAGAGCTGTGTATGTAGATACTCATACAGTAAGTGCCACCACAATTAGCATGTTAGAAGTTTTCAGCAGACACCATGGACAGATTGGGCCCAGAAACTTAAAACTGCTTATTTAGAGGTGCTTCTAACATAACCAAGAATAGTCTACTATGTCCCTTGCACAACTTTCTGATGTCTTTCTCTCCCAGCCACAGCTTCCTGGCACTGACTGTAAGAACCATGGCCACGAGGAAAAGAATAAACCACACTAACCTCTACAAGAGCAATAACTCATCAAACATAAATATGCTCCATTTCTTTCAGCCGCATCCTGCCATCAGCATATAAACAGGCAGGACAGAAAGAAAAGATACTTCCATGTGTCTTTGTTTAGCACTGGTATGAAAGGCAACAGCGCACATTTGAATTAGAAGCTAAAGTACACCAGAAAAAGCTGAAGTATATTAAAATAAATCCCTTAGCACACTGCAGGAGAGCATCACAACGAAGCTGAAACCAAAATATGGTCTCTCTATGTCTGAAAATTAATTAACCACAGTCAGCTTATTTGGTTTGCAAGTTACTCTAGGATTACAATGAACCTTGTAAAGGGACTTCTGTTTATGTTACGAAGCTAGCATGTAATTTACATTTATCTGCACAGGACAAAACTAACATTGCACAGGAGAAACCTAACGTTAAACAGCATGATTATTTCAAATCGACCCTTTTGTACAAAGCAACTCCAACTGCATCACGTAAGAATCTGAGCTTCTGTGGTACATTCGATGTTCAATGCATCACAGAGTGCTCTGCCACTGCCTTAGTTTCTCTATTTATGAACAGGAATAATATTAACCTTCCTAAATCACTTCTGAGATTCTCAGTTAATAGTAAAATAGCATCTGAAATTCAAATACTAATAGGAATTTTCTGTGAATCGAGGATAAAGCAGGCCCAGACAGAGGACACTATGAAGGGCTACGATGTATTTGAAAGGCATATGCATCCCCATACCACTGCAAGGTAAGCCGGAGAACAGATTCCAGCCATCACATGCAACTCTACAACCTGCAAGTGCAGAATCAGAGACAACTGAACCATCTCAAAATCAGAAAAGGAGGATGACATCAAATGGTACTAAGCTCAACATATCCATCAATTCTTCTAAAAAAATACATATATAGTTGTATCCTTTTACACAACACTCTTGCTGGGTAGATTATTTCTACTACTTCTTTTAGGCTTTTCAAAAACCTATCTCTCTCCCTCCACACTCAGCTTGCTTAGTATTCAGGCAGCTCACCTTCATCAATATCTGGTGGAAGACCTCCAACAAACACTTTCCGAGAAAAACGCTCAATTCGTTCTCCATTCTGATGAGCTGAATAGCAGGTTGGTGAATTCAAGACTCCAACTTGATCACTATGACCATCGTCCAGCAAACCATCATCTATTGGGAAGAGGGAAGAACGGCCTTAAAAAGAAAAGATAATAACATACATTAAAATAATTTTGTGGCTGCACATGGTTATCTAATATAAAGGAATGCGGGAGCAGCAGTCTGGAATGTAAAAATGAAAACATTAAGATATTAGAAAAGCACACATTAGTTTAAAGAAAAATTAAGAAATGAAAAATGCATTAAACTTCAAAAAGGAAATTCAAGGTTGCAAGCTGACATCACTGTAAGCGTATTTCATACTACAACATATTGTAGTTACTCTGCTGTATGCAGTAGGAAAGCAGAATTTTTTTTTTTAAATAAAGCATCTTGTTTATGAAGAGATCATATTAAGGACTGCCTAAGTGAGTTTCATCAGTCTGCCTTTGTTTTAGCTTCAAGTTAAACTGATAACTTCCATCACCTGAATGACTACTGCATGTCTAACAATCTTACACTTTAATTGAACAGAAGGAAGAGGGAAAAACATGGAACCATAAGAAGTTTCAAACAGGTATGTTTTCTGTTTTAAAGGTATCTGGTGCTGACAACGTAAAAATAGATTTATCTTCTAAGAAAGAAAAAGAGAATGTGCAAAATATAACTTTCTAAGAATGAGTTACAGTGCTGCTTTATCCTTCTCACTCTCAAATTTACCACAGTTTTGGAAGGAAGCTTTGTGATGGTTCCTAATGTGTAGCAACCTGCAGTAAGATTAGTTACCCTGAAGATCAAGTGTAAAACCTGAGAAGTCCACAGGATGACTTTGCAAATGCAAAGTGATCAAAACAGATGTGTAGATGGCAGGGTGAAAACACCCTAATTCTGTCCCACTTATTTCCCCCTGTATAATATTTACAAATTTTAGAGAACTCCAAAACAAAAAGACTTGGAAGGCCAGGATATGCATCTCAGCTTATTCAAACTTTCACTGGTTTAGATTAGCAACGTAAAGATTGACAGTTTCAAATTCTAAAGTCATTTAACTGCAAAAAGCCCCAAAAGAAACACTTTGAGAAGCAAAATAAATACTGCACATCACAATGTCTTCTGAAGTACTAATTTTCCTGTTTCACTCATTTTTTAAAATAAATATTCATTAATGGAACTGCTTTCCAAGAACAAGCGAGCAAGCAGAACCAAAGAGCAACCTGGCACGCTTTTGGGAAGCAAATTAATTTTCCATGTCGAATAGCCAACTTGTGGATTTCCCCACAGCAAATCCACATGCAGGAGCAGCAGGTCCCTGGCCGCTGAGTCTGCAGTACCTTACCAGAAGACCACCTGAGAGTCAAGTGCTCCAAGACAAGGCTGGAGAACAGACAGCAAACATGATGGCCAGTGAACGACCTATGCTGCGGTAATGCCCAATGACCTTGACTGGGTATCTAAAACCGTAGTAAAAATCAAGAACAAATGAAAACGCAAGATGATAGAAAACTACTCAACATAATGTCACAACCATCACAAAATAAAAGCAGGACCACAGGATTGTACTAAGAAACAAACCCAATAACTACAGCATCTTTATGGTGGCATTTTGCATTTATGTCTTCAGTCGGCATCTGATGGGAGAGGAGCACACCAAATGCAGAAAGCTGTAGCAGGCTCCTCCTTTCCATTAGGAGTGGTGACGTGTGCGTTTGAGATGATGAGCAGCGAGGAGCAAGTGATGGCATCCTTGCTCACTATCATAAGGACGCACCAAACAGCTAGAGAACAGATCAGTAGAGTGCCTTTAAAAGTGGAAGCAAGTAGCTTGTGCTCAGTGGGGCAGAAAAATGAGGAAGCAAGGGAGAAACAGAAAGTTAACACAGTTGGAAGAAGCAGCCAGGCAGATTCTTCTTGTAAATCATCTATTCAGACATAAGAGGAACAAGATCATGCTATAAAGACTGCAGCAGCTGAGTAAGGCACATATGAGTTTCAGTTACAAAGACTAATAAAAATGATCGGATCTTGAAGATCTATAGTGTTAAGGTTTGGTTACACAACCAAGAAAGGGATTTCTGAATTACTGGTGTGAATGATGGAGAAGATGGAGCTGTTATCATAGTGACAGTGAAAGGAAAAAGTGGCTAAAGGAAGAAATAAGACTCAGGTTGGAGGAACTCGCAGGAAACTACAGAAGTGGAAATTTTAAGCATTTTCACCACTATATGAGAGTTATTCTTAACATCTTAAATCTAAAATGACTCTAATTTAGCTGGGTTGTCTTCATAAAAAGCACACAGATTTGCTCTTTACCTCTGCAGGTCAGGAAAAAAAAAAAGTGACTTAAAAATATGCCAATTTTACTAAACTTGTTGGTAGTACAGCGTACAAAATACACAAGTATATGGGGTAAAAATGTTCAATGAATAATCCTCAGAATAACTTATTTTTTTCCCCACATACCAATGTTAAAATCTAAGAACAAGAAGAATCTAAGGCGCTCTTCCCAATACAAATGAAACCATCAGAACATGTTCTGAAACGATACCAGAGAGGTCAGTTTTACTTTAATGTGGGTAAAGGTTTGCTCAAAGCACTGCAGCTCCTCAGAGAGCTAAGATGACACAGAGGACAAGGGATTCATACATTTGTATGACTGTATATGACTCCTAACACTTTCTTCTCCCTCCTCTTCACTTTTTGATGTCTCTCAAATGAGAGCAAAAACGTAATTTGCTGGGCTTTCACATTTCTCCCAATGACTGTGAATTAAAAGGATAAGCTCTTTTAAATACTTGTTTCTCTTGTTTTATGACAGTGGAATTAAGCAGAATTAGCCAGGAATCGTCAAAACCTGACTGTACTGTTACATATGTTGGCCGTGACCTAGATCATCGCTCCTCTCTACGTTAGGGCTACCAAGCAATCAGTTACGAACCCATGCAGAGACCAAGAGAGAGACAGAAGAACGTTGGTGTGTGTTGCGAACACTGGAAGCTACCAAAGGTCCCAATGCTTTTGCTGCACACTTTACATAGTCTTTATAACGACTGCAGGTCACATCTTCGTATGGTTCAATCAGTACAGCTCTTCCAAGGTAAGGGACTGCATCTCGTCTTAACACTATTTCTAAGAGCTGCCTGCTAGATTTTCTTCCTGAGTCTTTCAGTTTTTACTCTGTACACTATCACTTACACAGAGGCAAAAGAAGATGTGTTAGGAGAACAACTAGCAAACTGTACACTTTTAAAGAGGGCAATGACTGCCAGCAGTAGTCATTAGCATGAACTGAATTATGATTAGAACTAGTGTTTTAACTGATTAAAGGATTTGTAATTTGTAATTCAAACACTAAAAAGAGATCAATGATCATAACAATCCAGACTGCACCCCTCCTTCCCTCACACCCTCCATCTTCCCCAAACTAAGACGACATGCAGATAAACGTTTATAATCAACAATCTGGATTAAATAATCATAATGATCAGTAACAGCTGAATCAGAATTAATTGTACTGTAACAAACAGAAGTGAATTACCTCGTCTTCGCCCATAACTCCTCGCTGCATGCAAACAAAGGACAAATTGTAAAATGTCAAATAACTGTATCATGCCCACATATTAAAATATTTACAATACAAAGAACTATGTGGGTAAGCAATAAGGAAAAATCTGCATCGGTCCTTGCTACTGATAATTCTGGATGAGAATGCATTACACTGAAGCCTCACTTAAATACCATGCTATTTTACTACTAAATTGACATCAGCCCCGGTGGTAAAGAACATAGTTCAAAATATTTCAACGTGTCTTTATACTTCATCTTAACTTCATGTTAATTTTGGATGCATAAATTACAGTAACTTTGTAATTCATCCTCACAAATGTGATTCAGATCTCACACAAGTGTCTAGATAACACACGGGGTACTGACATTGTGAAAAAGAAAATATTGCTTTAAAAAGCATGTAGCAAGCATTAAATGAATCACAGAAACATCCTGGTCCATGGAACAGTTTGTACAGTCCTTTGCAGTGACAATACAAATGCTATAAGCCATGACCTTCCTTTTTCATGAAAAGACCTACCAGAAAATTAACGGCAAGGTTTTGTTTGAAACAAAAGAGTCCTTGTGGTAGCAAACAAAATCAGGGCACAAGTCACAAGAAACAGCATTGTAGCAAAAACACTGCACAAAGGCAAAGCAGCAGTTTCTGACAGACTGCATGTAACCCAAGATTTTCCTAACTGTTGAGTTTTGCAAGGTTCTTAAAGAGATCATGCTTATAGCTACAGTTCAGAAGACCATACTGACTGCTTCTCAGCCTGAAGGCTAGGAAACTAAAAATAGGCAGATTACTAATACAAAAACTATTAATTTGTGTGCAATTTCTTAGTTACGTTTCCACAAAGTACTTTCAATTCCCGTATCACAGACTTTGTATCTGAGACAGATGAATCACTGCAGCAATGTAGTTAAACATCCAAATAGAAAACCTGACTATGAAACCCTAATGTCATAGCAACACTTCTGAACAAAGATTACTGTGTCTCAGCATTATTTTGATTTTACTAAGACTCCATACATCCATCTCTCCTAAAAACCAGCTGGGGGTCTGGGACATTGAGGTACAGGCTCCTCATAAACTCAGTGATTTGTAAATGTTATTCACTGTTCCGTTCTCATATTATTAAATACTTATATGCGGGTACCTGCCATTTGCACGGGATTTTTCAAAACTTGTAGTAACTACATATTTTTTTGTTCTTGTCTTGATCCCTTCCTAGTAAGAATTCAGTGGATTGCTCATGGAATTTGGAAAATTTCTCTCCTTGCTTTTTCTCCCCCAAAACTGTTGATTTTTTACAGATCAGTCATTATATTCCCATCCACCTTGCACTGAATTCCTTTTCAAATTTATTTTCTTTCATCTGAAAGAATGACTGTTGATGAGAACAATCTTTTGCTTGAAAGTGTTTCAGATCCTCCAACTTTCTACTAGAAAGCCAAAACAGAAACCCCCATTTTTCAGAAGAGATTTGGCTATCTAACCAACTGGAAACACCTAAATTCAGATTTCCCACATGCAAATAGAATTCACAAAACATAATGTATTCTTCCATGTGATTAGTTGTCTCATTAGTTGCTGCTGTACAGGGAGACTCGTGCCGAACTTTAGACTTGTTTTCCTCCGAAGTCAGGCTCTTAGATGACACGCAGTTCCATGTCAGTGCCGCAGCATGTGCAAATCTTTTCTGACTCTTGGCCAGAGCGACTCCCACATACCATTAGCAGTAGCGTCACTAAGCCCTCATCTAACCCCCGTATGCCTTTTTTTTCCTTCCACAAATAAAATTAAAGTAACCAGGGGAAATACAAGAGCATCACATCCATAGCAATGACTGCACTGCCATGTTCTCTGTCAAAGAGTAATATACAAACACATATTAATAAGCATCTTTCGGCACAACCCTTAGTAATTTTTCTTCTGCCGCTTCTGCTCCTTTCTGCCCACCAAACCAGGCCAGCTGTTCTCTTATATTTTCATAATTAAGGCAAGCTGATATGCATAAAAATATTTTGTTACAGAACACCTGAACTGTTTGGCTTCGTCCATTTAAAAATCAACAACAGTAATCTTCAGGGGAAATACAAAAGGGTTATAAAAATGCTTAAACCCCCCCCCCCCCCCCAATTAAAAGGGTAGTTGCTGCAGTATTTTATATATATGGAAATTACAATGATGTACAAAAGTTATCTGTGTATTCTTTGCTTCAGCGAAAACAATGAAATCAGAAAAAATGGGGAAAAAACCTAGACCTGATGTTGTCACATTATTTACTTTACTTGTATGGCAAACTACCCTGATATTTGTTTTGTCCATTGAAATGTAAACTAGTGTGGGCAGGGATTGTTTGCCACTTGCATCCACAACAACATGATCCCACTCTTAAGACTATCTGTAAGCACTGCTGCAATAAATGTGATCATTGACATTAAAATGTACGGGCTTGCAAAACTTGCTATTTTTTCCTATTTTTATTCAGACTTTAAGACCACAGTGGTTATATTACAGGTAAGTTGTTCTCATAACAGTAAGTACAAAGTCTTACTGTTACTAAAAATATTATCTTAAAGCAAATACATCCTATCTTCATGAAAGCTCAGTATTTTAATCTCTCCACCTTACATAGAGAATATATATAAACTCTCTTTCAAAGGCCAGATACTACTTGTGAAAACAGTTCCACCAAATCAAACATTTAGTACACTGTAAGCAGTAACATTATTCTTTATGAAGATTCTAGACTCAATTAGGAATATGTCTGTATGTGTTAAAATAACATGCACATAATGTTTTATATCTTTCGTAGCGTGCTTATGTGGTCTGGATAAATATAAACAGATACATTTAATTATAGTTTTAGCTATACATATAGCTTTATATATATTTAATACATACATCTACATAATTAGTGCATATGTTTAGATAAATAATTGCAGGGAAGACAGCCCTTTGGGGAAGGCCAGACATGGTAAGCAAATAATTCACTTAACACCAACAAGAAAGGAGAGATTAAACTTCTTCTGTCCTTCCTAAATGTGTTCAAAGAGTAAGTCATACAGAAATATTTTTTGTGTCTTTTAGTCTATAAAGCTGGCTATCTTAATTAGCCAAAAACTCTGAAAGATTTTGAATGAGTGAGAAAGTGCAAGGAATACACTATTATTCTGGACAATATGAAGTAGGAAACACATGCAAGAAGTATAATGATGTCCAATAAAAATGAAGTCAAATAACCCAGGAACCTTCCAATTTAAGAGTGCTGTATATACAACAAAGAAATAGCCTTGTCGTTAAAACCTTCTATGTCCCTGAAGTGGCATACTAATAAAATTTAAGCCTGTAAAAAAAAAATTAATACCCCCCTTTCCGCAATCTAAATCACCTCAGAGAAAGAAATATGATAGTCAGAAGTAAATACACTTTTTGTGCATGTTTATCTACCATCAAGACAATATAACATTGTACATTTCATGAGCAATGCTGTCACACAGACAACATCATTTCTATTTCATTGAAACATGTATTTAAAATATAGCCCAGAAATCAAATACCTGCATATTTAAATAACTGACTGAGATGACTTCAAAAATACTACATTGTATAAAAGAAAAAACTTCTAGACAAGCTGCCTATAGTTAAAGATAACTGAAAAATTTATGATGGAAATACTGATGAAGCATTATTTGTCCCTAACATACCTGATTTAATGATCAAATGGCAACAGTGAAGTGATGAAGCCTTTTTCATTACTACTTATTTGCCATTTAAAGAAATCCATAAACAATTGTGGCAAAAATTTCCCAAGAGGATAGACTAAAGGAGGCAGGTGCCTAATTCTCATTTTATTGTACTGGATTTAGGTGCCTAAATTCTATTAAGATTTCTTCAGAAATCTCATCTTTACAGTTTTTAAGGCTGAAAGACATCATTGTGACTATTTAATTCTGTCATGCTTAAGAGACTACAGAAGCTCATTTAGCAATTCCTGTATAGGATGTTTAATAACTTCTGCTTGAATTAAAACCCCTTTCTTAGAAGCACAGCCAGCTATAGCATGTTTTAGATGGAAAGTTGTAATATTGCCTTACTAAAGTAATCAAATGGTGAAAAACGTTTCAATAGCCATTAAAAAAATTCAATGCATTGAAATTATTAAAGGGGGGGGCGGGGGTAGGAATCCTATAATGGCAAAAAAAGACCCTACACCTCCAATAAACTGGACTCCTGCATTATTACTTGCTCCAGAAAGGTTCTCTCTGAGATCAAGTTGACAATTAAAGATGTACTCAGGCAAACCCATTCCGAAGTATCTTTTTCTGAGTTTTGAGAGATAACAGTTATTAAAAATCCATTGCTTTTTTAAAGCTTGAGCTGAAAAAGATATATAATTATGAGATATATAATTTATTAAAACATAAATCAGCTTTCCTTTGGCTCATTTCATTAATTTAAATAATGAAAACTGTAAATATTAATATTAGGTACAGTCCAGTAAGTACACTTTAAATGAGCTGGAAATGATCTATCATTTAAGAAGAGGAAAAAGTAGCTAAAAATGTTTTATCTAGAAGTGCTTAGTCTTAAAGGAGTTGAGGAATTCCAGCCTGGCTCATGTCAGAACCTTACTGGGATAGAGACACCAGTCCATTAAAATCAAGCCAACTAAAATCCAGTGAGGATCACGATCTAGTGTTAAGTATTAGTGAGCGCACACATAGATGAGCACAGGATCCTTAAAAATGCTGGTGCTTTCATGAAGATCTGGTATTCCTGCTCCTCCTCGTAGCGACTACCACACTTACTGAGAAACTAAGGGACAAATGTGAGTCTCCGGATTACCAACTCTCCTCTTCCCTACTCCTCCCTCCAAGCCATCAAGTATAGGGACACAGGAAAATGTTAGCCTGAATCCACCGAGGCAGAGAAGGCAACTGAAGTCTACAACTTTATCAGCAAGCGTTCAAGCTGTAATTCTCATTACCAAACATCTGGAGGAAGTCTCTCAATTCTTGGTAAGAAAGAAAGGTTGTGGCAGCTGGAGCTTCCCAGGGTTGTTGCCAGTGCTCTTGTTCTTGAGCTGTATGGAGCTGCCATTCAGACACTCCAAACTGAGGTGGCTTTGAATAGGATACATGACTGCACTGATGGGTATATCACACTCTCCAGGTACATGGTAGAGGGCTTAAAAGTCTAAACCTAGGCTTGGAATTGAAGTCTGAAGAGCATACCTAAAAATTAGGTGTTGCATCACCTGTCTTTTTGATACTCAAATTGTTATTTTTATCTCACCTACTGAAGGTTGGAAAGAATACTGCAGCCTTTAATGAGGACAGCAGTCACCTTAAGTGCTAACTTTCAAACTACAGTGGAAATCCTATCAGCATTAATAACAAAACAAGATATTCTTTAGAGTAGTTTAGCTCTGCAGTAAGGTTTCTAGGATAGGCTAGTACCACTGGGATGCATTTTTCCAATAGCAAACCTGTTCTTCCTAGATATTCTGTAGAGTAACAATGCTTCCCGTGTGCTCTTTTAACATGCAAAACTATAAAAAGAGAACTCACTATTCTAAGTATAAAAGCAAACAAATTTAAAAAAAAATAATTTCTTACACTAACTGTATTGAAATATTTCACAGTTGCTCATAAGATTGCTTAGTTTTTACTACCATCCTATATTACACTTCATTATAAATCAGCAGTCATATAAATCATAACACTTCATTATAAATTCATTATAAATGTGACAATTGCCCATATACCACCTGAACAAACCAGCTTGCAGAATGGGTCTTACAGTTGCAGTTAAATACAGAAAGTTAACTGTTGTAACACCAAGCACATCAGTATTCCATGGAATTTCTGACTAGCAATCAGGATTATGGCCTCTGTGGGCTAAACACTAATGTATTTTAATAGTTAAGTATCTATTCTCCCTTTTCATAACATTGCATTATTTTAAATAACTTCAACACCAAAGGACCTAATTCTTCAAATGTCCATTGTGCAGTATTTTACTGGGTATAAAGCTAAACCTGAATATCCTTAAAATTTTAAAAATTTACCTAGTGTTGCAGAAGGGAAATTAGGTGGTTTTTACATTTCAAAGCCATCTGTACAAGTGTAAGTGACTGTGCAGAAGGGTTAGGCAATTAAAAAAAAAGCTCCACAGAACCACAAACCTGAAATAGCTATTCTGACTGTATCTTTTAATACCTAAGTTTTTACTGGTAATGTTTAGACTCATCAAGTAAATGACAAAAGTGTACTTGCTTTGTGCACAAGTTTCCACTTTTTCTAATCTAAAGAAGCTGTGGCATTGTAGTTCTAATTTTTCCTGATGTAGAAAACATTTGTGTGCAAAACCCAATTTATTATTGACTTAGATGGATTACCAAGCTCTGCTTCCTTCTTTAGCCTTGAACAAAGGCTAAAGTTCATGCCTTCACTAAGTAGCAGATGTTCATGAAGTTTGACCTACTGGGAGAGGAACGTGAACGTGAACTCTAACTTCAGCATATTTCACAGTTAGAAATGTATCTGAGAAATCCAGTTCCTAAACACCCAACAAAAATAAAACTTTATTTCATGTAAGTGTAATAGAAAGTGTCTAGTTCATCCTTTATTTATACAAGATAGAAAAACATGCCTTTCTGGCCTTCTTATTTTTCTAATTCCTGTTTCTGTATAATAGATTTCTAGCAGATCTTTGGAGAAGACACCACTGGTTTGCTTGAGAACAAAAAAGAGTAGTGCATTGTTACCAGCATTTCAGATTTCAAATAAGCTAGATATAATGAAAGGCTGTTGCAAGATTAGCTCTTGCCATTCAACTCTGGAAAATGGCAACAGTCCCACCAGTGTACAAGACCAGAGGCAAGTAATTCAATAACAGAATATAATAGTATAATTTTATACCAACATGTCAGATTTAAGCTAAGCTAGAGATAACGAGAAACTGTTAGAAGATTAGCACTTACCATTTAACATTAGAAGATTGTCGGTCCCTGGATGTGGATAACTCAAACGACCTTAAAAGAAAACAAAAAACAAAGAACAAAACAAAAGAAATGAAGAGGTTTTAGCTATTATACTAGAAAAAAAAGTCATGAAAAAAAAAATCACTGCTTAGAATTTAAATATAAGCTATATTTTCAGTTTGCCTAAGGGAAATAAAGAGCTAATATTTAACTCCAAGCACATTAACCAACAATACCCTTGACCCAAGTTAAAGCTGACAAGAACAGACTTCTTAACCTTAATTCTCTGGTCATAAGATCTGCAATGTGCTTTGGGATCAGCTCCAATAGGATAAAGCCACTTTTTGTTTCATGACACCCAGAAATAGTGCTGACTGATTTAGTCTTCTCTTTCATAGTGACTGTGAATAACTGTACTATGCACACTGCTTAACAGAGTGGCATTTCTACAGTTTAGTGCTCCTCTTTTTTAGAAAAATCATGTTAATAGGAATTAAGGCATTAAAATTTTATTAACCAATTTATGACTGCATCTTGGCGTATCACATATAACCACTGTATGTAATATTTTTCATTAAGTCTGGCAAAACTAGAGTACTGATTTATCTACTGAATTAACAAAATTAAAGAATATGATGGATAACATTTTCAACATTTTATATTGAATAAAAATTACATGAAAACCTCATATCCTGACATTAGAATTTTTCAAGTATTTCATTTTACTACACTGGTGGCATGTTATACTTCAATAGTTAAATGAATGGTTTAAAATGCATGGCTAAAGTGTCTGTTCCCTAAAAATTCCATTTCATTAAAAGAGACTTTTTCTGTTTACAGGAAGCTGCAAACATACCAGTAGTGCACACTGACCTAGAGAGACATTTACAATAGCCGCTGTGTTCGGAAGAAGTGTGCTTTAATGTGCTAAAAACTACATTTCCATCTATCTTGCTATTAAAACATACTTGCTTGCTTATAATTCATAAGCATATATTAAAAAATATTGTAACTTAAACACGTAAATCTTTTGGAGGAAACGAGAATGTTTGTGGAGGCATAAAAAAGAATCCAGTCTGGAAGCAATGGGTGTTCAGAACTCACACAAGTTTAAAGGGGAATATATATGCAGATGGGTTGCAAGATGTATTAGTAAAACAGTGTCATACACTAAAAAGGCTCTCTCATTCTAAAAAGAAACACAGGGGAACAAAAACAAAAAAGAAAACCAAATCAGCAAACTATATGTTAAGGTTTTCAAACAATTCCACTGTTTCACCTCTCACATGCATTGTTGGTAAACCCATGTGACTAGCAGCAGGACTAGAAATTTCTCAAAGCAGTAGTTCTGTGTCCCAAGACACACCTTTGGGGTTATATTAAAAAAAAAAAAATCTTTTAGCTGAAAATCTGTAAGTAATGGGGTTTAAGTTTTATTCTTCCCCTTCAGGAAACCAACATGATAATTTTCTACCAAGAACTATAGGAAAAATACACATTATGGACTCTTATTACACTCAAAACTTCAAAATAGCAAGATTAAGATAATTTAGAATATTTTATTCAGCCTTGTTATTTACAGGCATTGTGGCAAAAAAAATTTTTATACAGCCACGTACTATTTCTCTTCCCACAGATTTAATTATAAAAATGGATGATATCAGAACACCTGCAGATGAGGTAGTAACTATTTGCTTTGGAATCTTAAGTGTGGGGAAAGCAGTGAAGGGCAAGGGCAGCCTCCTGGAAAAGGGCAGATGAATGCCACCTGAAGGGACTCTGCTGTCTTCTCTACCTTCAACAGAATTTTTGAGCAGGCGTAGGCAAGATAAAACAAAAATCTTTGCAGAAGCCTTTGTCTTCATGTTTCTTATCTTCAAGATGTCCAGTTTTAACACACAAGCCAATTTTTCTGTCATGCTGAACATTTACAGCTATACTTAATGTTTATCAGAACTATAAATATTCTGCCCTTCTAGCAATGCATGTTGGTGTAACAGCGAAAGAATTAGGAACGAGACATCCTTAAATTGCAGCCTGGGAGCTGCCACTGGTTTTCTCAGCCTGGTGTATAACAAGCCACTCTCCTTCACTTCTTAGTTCTTTGCTCTATAAAGGTAATACTGATTTGCCTAATACCAAGGATTGTACATGATTATTTACTGTCACCATCATGTTTATATATGGTGCTACAGAAATATTTGCAACGATGTGAGATGTTTCTTGCAAATCAGAATGCTGTATCTATCTAGAAATACAACAGAAATGGTGAGAAATTATCTCGTCTTGAACTTTGAGTCTGTGGTGTCAGTCTTCGTCCCTGCCTGTATACATTTATCTTCTTTTCCTATTCAGCAAGGGAGACAAAAGATACTTTTTTTTGTGTAATTACTACAGAAAAAGAGGCCAGATTTAAGGCCTAGCAGGAGAGAGGAGACCACCAGTGTCAACACCTGGAGAGGAGAACTGCTAGAAGGTGGCAAATTCTGGGTTTACAACTCTGGTTTTGCATTCTTTTGCTTATTTCCCCTATAGCTTCACAAATAAGCTGCATCCGAAACATAGGTGCCACACTCAAAAAGTTGAGGTTGAGAGTGCACTAAAGAGCTGGGCCCGCTGTTGGAGTGTAAAACCTACAAATGCGCCAAGACACGCCATCTTGCAGTGTTACGGATAGGAATTTGCAAGCTCAGATAAGGAATGATTTGAGGGTTAGAAAGGAAAATGGGTAACAGAGTAGCCAGTACATGTACAGCTGTACCAATACTTCTTTTAAGTCTTATTTATGTGGTTATTTCAGTTAAATCATACTGTGCATTACTGCGTTCTAGTGAACTCCATACTTGTATTCTGTGCTAGGTACTTAGGTACTGCCCAGTCCTTGGACTTAGAACCTTACAAACATATTTAACATAGCTTTGCTTACTTTTCCAAAATACAATCCCTGCTATTTGATAAATTAACTTGGGTTCTTATCCCTCAGATTAATCTGCTGAAGCAAAGCGCAGTGTTTCTAGGGTGGCCACCTGAATTTAATGATAAAGTCAGAACACTTCATGCATGAAACCAGGTTGCAAGATCAGTCTTCCACAGAGCTCAGATTACACTATTTTTTAAACAGATTATTCTAGTTAAATTGACATATACAATATTAAATCTCACTTAAAATATCAGAATAGAAAACATAGAAGATGGAAGCATCATCTTATAAGAATTTCCTTTGCTTCTATCACATTTCTTTCTATTTAGCTATTTTCAGTGCATGTTGTTTGATGCATTTAAAAAAAGTACCATTTGAGAAGTGCCCTCACCACCAATCCTATCTAATCTACTTGAATGTCAGTAATCTAGAATTGTATAAACCGTTCAATAGGTATTCTAGCAGTTTCTGCCTGCTTAAAAAAAGAAATTTCAATAATATATTAATATGCTTTACTACTTTAAAATCAACTACAAATTAGTTAGAGGATAACTAATACTTAAATAATGGATGCATTCCATTCCTGAGAAATGAAAAGTAATCATTTCACTGACTGTCTATGGAACTTAGCTCTACAGCATCCAAAATTAGTGCTGCTATCTGGAACAAATACAAGGCCTAATTACAGTACTATATCAAAAAGTATCATGTTACAGAAATTTCCTCTGTGCAAACCTGAACTTGTAACTTTGTCATGCTACCGCTAATGAATAATTCTCATGTATCATGACTACAGTCAAAATAGCATTCCTAAAGAGAAGTAGGTATGTTTGACATTTCTTATGCAACTAGAGTTCTGTTAAGTTTAGCCCTCTCTTCCATATCTAAATGTGATTAATGCTAACAGACCTGCCTGGAATTTATTTCTCACAGTGTATTCTTCTGTAAGGACAGAAAAAACCTAAACGCTTGCACATAAATTTTAGTGAGCCAGTTTATTCACTAAATCCAGTTAAAAGTCTTGCTAATCCAAACCATGAGGAAAGAGTAACAAACCTGGTTTTAGCTACATTTCTGTAATCTCATGTTACTTTTATGGGCAATAGAAAATTAACTTAAGTTTCTTCTCAACAAACAGATGCAGTCGTGCTTACTCACTTTTCATTTTAAGGCAAATTCCTATCTACTTTTGGAAATACATACTTTAAATTCCTATTTAACTAAACTGTTGAAGGAATCCCCATGTATTAAAACATATTGGATAGATTTAAGAGTAACAACCACTTTAAATATTGCTGACTCAGTTTCACAGGTTCAATATTTCATGTCTACTCCTCCCACTTTAAAAAAAAAAAAAAAACAAACAACAACAAAAACCCAAACACTTAAATGGTTGAATGAGGAGACAGAACCACAAACTCCTGTCCCATCTTCCTTATTTCAAAAGACATTGTGACTAGAAGAGAAAAAGCTTCCAAGTTAAGTTTTTCCCAAACTACTTTAACAGACCAGTGAATGGCTGAGTATTGCAGCAGTTGCAGAAAGCCCAGGTTTTGAATCAGCGTAGTTAAGACGACAGCACAAAACCATGTTTGGACAACACCTAGTTACAGAAAGCCTGGATACTACACTTTCAAACTCTTGTGTAAGAATTATGTAAGTCATAATGAGGCCAAATGTGTTGTCTCTGACAGTCGATTTATTTAGGCAAATCATTCTGTCAGTCTAAATATTCTTTTATCATAACAAGTTGCTATGACAGAAAGAGGAAACAATCTGTGTGTACCATTTCAAAGCCTTTTATGTGACTAAGGGTAGCTAAGTTCCTTTCACACTTTTTTTTTTTTCCCAAGTGCAATTTGAATTACTCTAGGAAGAAACTGTGTAACTTTAAACCTTACAGCTTCCTAACACAAAATATAGAACAAATTCCTCTGAAAACAAAAATTACCATATGCAAAGAAAGAAGATGTTCTCTGCTGCGTTGCTGAGTCACCAGTGCTTTTCTATTTACCTTCCTGAGCATGCGCCAGCAGGTTGCTTTTAAAAGACAGATGTGCAACAGCTGAAAAGCTCCACTAAGCTATTTTAAAGGGAAAACAAAACCAAGAAAAAGCAAGACGGACTTCTCAGTGCATCAAGTTATTTTCCCCACAGATATGCCAAATAATAGTGTTTTACTTTAATTGTTTATTACTAGTACTAGCTATAAAAAAGAAATGTTTGTGTAACCTTCCTAAAAAACTTTTCACTTTCACAGAGACAGAAGAAAAATTCAACACCAAGTTAACGTTCATTCTTGTTAGTCCTACTAATACAGCTATGGCTAATTCAAGTTGAGTACTGTCTTACATCCAGCTTGCAGAGCTCTAAGAGAGTTGGTTGGGAAACAGAAATGTAAATTGAGTACAGCATCATTACTCTTGCCTTACAAAAGACAAGACATTCAGTTACATGGAAAATACCATAGTCTTTACTAGAAAAATGTTTAAAATAGATAATAAATTCTATTGAATCACCTGTTTCTTAATTCTAATACATATTCCATGCAAAATTTAGCCATTTCTTCTAAGATTTTCTGTAATCTTTTTTTAGCCCAAATGTATTGACCTTCCTGTTTCTGAAATGTCTACATCTTGTCATCAAGAGGTACTGGTGTTTGCGGAAAAGGAACAAAAATTGAATGTTCACAAGAGGTATCTCTGGAAAAGACTTACACTACCAATGCCCATGTATTTCAGGCTATCAATACTGTAATTCTTCTCTCAAAATACTTTTAAGGGCTACAAGAAGAACAAAAAGGGTATTTAAGAAAAATGATATAAAAATGAATTCATTTATTTTAACTTTTATTAATTTGAACTTCAGTTTATATTCCATTGACTGGATGGAGTAATCTTAAACATTACTTTATGTCTTATTATGAAATGCATTTCAAGAAATCTGCATGGGAAAGATTAGCTTTAAAACGATCAGTATTTCTGCTGCAATGACTAGTGAAGTCAAGCATCTATTCCCTATTAACCTACCTTGAAAAAATGTCTTATTGAAAGCTAAAAATGATTTCTTTCTTTTGAACACATCTGTAGTAATGACTAAACTTTAAGTGAAGCCAAAATTATGAATCTATAAACAACCTTTTGGCAGGCATAAACTTAGCTTTCAGTGCATCACATTTGAAATAAAGTTTTTTCAAGCTCATGAAAGCAAAAGCAGTGAAATCTGACTTCTGTCTAAAATGGATATTGAAATGCAAAACTTAAATCTGTGACCTAGTACACACAGTGTCTGTTCTGCATTGTGCAAAATCTGAGACAAGATGCTTAGTCATAGTCCAGATATTGTAAGCAGCTAAATCTGAAACACGTGCTTAAAATTCCAGGGACTTTCATTTTACTGCTGGGGTCAGATATAAAAGATGCATTGTTTTAGTTTGCTTAGATTTACTTAAAATCTTGGCATAAAAATATTCTTTCATTACAAAATACTCTTTAGTTACAAAAAAGTATGTTATAAATTAATAAGAACAACAAATAAATAACAATAATATTCTTAATCCTGTGCATTCTGCAAGCAAATATGATGGGTTCTTAAGTAAATGTCAGATTTTCTGTGGTGAAAAGAAAAGCCACAGAGACTGAAATAACAAAATTAGTGTTTCATGGTTTGCAGGAAAAAAAAAAAATTGGAAGCTGCTAGGAAACTACAGAAATGCCAACTAATGGTGACTAAACAAAAGAGGGGTAGAGAGGAACTAAAAGTTTATTCTAGGCTGTGATCTCTTGTTCCCGTTTTCAGTCAGTAAGGAACATTCCTTATGTCATACTGTTAATAATGTAGCTGTTTCAGTTGAAATAATAACTTCCAAGAAGAAAAACATATCTTAACTAATTTAAACAACAGCACACAATTACTCTATTTAAATTCAGTTGGTGTGTGCATTGTTCTCTGGCAGTCGAACAAAAAATGGATTTCCTTTGAATTCATCACTATCTGTGGCTTCCATCTGGTTTAGTTCAAACATAAAACTTAGCAGAATTTTCACTGGGAGAGCATGATGGGGAAACTGTTAAAAGAATAGTCTCTTAACTGTAGGCTGAAACCATATACTCATGTCCCTAGAAAGCACAGAATAACTGTGGAACCTTTACTGAGTTTTTCAAAAGTGTCTATGTATGAACCAAATTCAGTTTAAAATCTTAAAGCTGTCTTTTATTCTCACTGAAAAGTTATTATTATTGGAAATACATTGTTTTCATCTACTGTATCATAATGAAATATGAATAAAAATAGGTCTTTTCTGAGCTCGCAGCGACTCTGAAAACTCTGCTACATGATAAAGCCAAAATGAGAACAGTGAGATGGCAGGGGGAACGAAGCAACCGCTTCCATTTGTCACGTCAGCACGCACAGAAAAAAGTGAAGAAACTGAGTGGTTCTCGGGACTGTGAGAGGTGCCCGTGACAGTACGTTGTGACAGAAGGTCCGCATTCTCTAATTTTGTGCCTAACAGTAGGTTAACCTTTTAGTATCCTTCCTGATGGCAGATTTAGGTTCAGATAACGCAAGAAATACCAGTCACCACCCAAGTGTGGCAAACTGAAGCAGCAACGCTTTGGAACAGCAATGATCTAACTGGTTACCTTGCCTTTGATAGCACATGCACGGTCTTAGTCTGCAGCAGTCACCACTGGGCTAACTGTCCACGGGTTTCAACCCCTTTGTGTCACTCGGTAATGTTTTGTAAACATGCAAAACAGACAGCAACTGAATTTAATCATGGGCTTTGATAAAAGTGTTAAAACTGGAATTAATCCTCTGTAGGTGATAAGAAGCAGGAGATCAGATTTAAAAACATCTGAGAAAAATTTCATTTCGGCTTCCACTCTAAAGAGGAGGAAAATTAACTGGCTAACGAAATGTCACCTACTCACTGATGCTTTGTAGAGATTTTCAGCTTGAAAAAAACCCCAAACTTTTGACTTTACATTGTAAATCTTACAACAGTATTACATGCTACCTGAATACTACAGGTCTTCCAATAGATTACAGATCTTAAGAAAACCATGAGCAGAATCTAGCAAACTGTCTTTCAAATTAGGAGAACACAGGCTCTTAAATCTAGGAGCCTCTAGAAATGGAGAATAAGATGGGAGTAAATAAGGATATAAAAAGAATTTTTTTATTAATTTCTTTTTCAATTGGTTCAACACTGAGACTTAATTTCTGCAAAACAAGTCTGAAGTCTTGGATAATTTTAAAGTCTGATTGTGTTAGTCTAGTTGTAATACCACAAAAGAAATAACATTTGATCAGGCCAAATAAAATGAGTTGGGCTCCCTGCCTCAAAGTTCAACGGTAAACTGCACGTGAGAATAAGTATGGAAAAACAGAATTCAAAAGAGTGAGTTACTGCACAGTGAATAGAGAAGCTAAAATTGAAGCTCACAAATATTAGCTATATGCTAACTGCTGTGGCCAAAGGATTTGAACAGAGCCAGAAGGGTAAGAGGAACCAGCATTCTAAAGCCAAGTGTATTTCTGTACTCCTTCAAACAGACATGGGAAAATTAGATGCATTATTATCCTCCAGGAGCTTTGAAAAAAAACATATTTGAAAGGACAAAAACTGAATTTATCAGTGGATTAATTTTCTTTTCAGCTTCAGCTGCAAATAAATGGAAAACTAACTGGCTAACACTGGTAGGAATTTGATTCCCCTCCCTCCCTCTTTTGGCTACCTCTACAGAACACTATGTCTTTGCAAACTGAGGCAGAATTTCCTCCAGCAGACAATAAAACAAACCATTAATTTCTTGGGGGAAAGGAGGGAAGAATGGAGGGGAAGAGGGAGAAAATCCTATGAAACCACTAAAGCTTAATTTAAGTTTTAAACAACTATAAATCAATGTTTTCAATAAAATACAGCTTGAGATTGACCTTTTGTGTCAGTTGAGAAAATAATTAATTTGCTATTTTAATATGACCCTAGAATCTAAATTAGCAGTCAGTATTCATTCAAATATGCAGAATGGATGACCCTTTTTTCTTTATTTAGCATAATAACATACCTTTAAGTGGATCATGCTCTGCTCTCATAATGTCAATAAGGGAGTTTTCCAAAGAGTGCATATTCAGACTGTCATACATTCTATTTCGATCCTAAAAGAGAACAAAATCCTTAGTATTGGAATACAAATTCTGTACTTTTCAACAGGAAACTTGATAGGAAGACAAAGGTGCCTTCTAAAGGCTATACGCTCAGACACTCTGGAGATGGACAGATACAAAAACTTAAGATACCTGACTTTTACCAGTAAGTTTATAAGCATCTAAATATAAAACTAGAGCTGCACCGTGAAGAACTCTTCCGTGTATGCCCTCTGATAGTCTGTGATTGCCTGTTCCCCTCAAAACTGCTTGAATCAGTTCTAGTGACCCACAGCAGAATTAAGCATTAGGCTGTTCAGTGAAAGAGATTAATGTCTGCAAGAGCTCAATTTCATTTCATGCAGAAGTTAAATAGTGAGGAAGGTGGAGAACTACAGGACAAGAAGGACAGTCACCTCATATGAAAGAAACCAGTTCGGTAGTGCTGGGGGCTAACTACCTTGCACGGGCCCTCAGTCCCCTGCTAAGACTGCACTTCCTGGCTTCTGGGTGATTAATCTGAGACCCTCTGCATACAAAGACTTGAGTTACAAACGGTCAGCACTAAATGGTTAGAGGTTGGAACATTAAAGCTAAACTATGAAATGAAAATGTCACAAAGCTTACTAATAGACTATCAGCCTTACAGAGAACATTTTTTTTGCACATGAAGATTAATAAGAACTATCGCAATGCCTGACAAATATTTTCACCGAAGATAATAAAAGTTACTGTGATATATCATAAACGTTCTTACTGATTTCATGCTCAACTAAGACATTTTCTCATGTGTTTTCTAACACACCCAAGTTACAAAGAAAAAGGAGGACTTCTAACTTCTTTGGTCCTTCTGAGATACCTTCAGAGACTGAAAAATGTTTGCATAAAATCTTAATCTCTTCTACTGGCAAGGTTTCTGATTGGACTGTAGTACACTTACAGGAATCCTGCAATGCCTTAATTTTACTGCTGTCAACTCTCTGACTGCACAGTAGTAATTCAACAGACTAGGACGAAATGCACCACACACATCCCACGACCATTAAAACGCTCTAAAGATGCGGCCATCTACTTGGCACATATATAATGGGACAGAAGGTAACTGACCCACACTCACTGTGACTTTCCATGACAGGTCAGCAGAACAGAGATTAATTTCAAGCTGTGTCCCTCAGCAAGCAGGTATTCTTCATGTTTGGGGAGGGAAAAGGCAAGCTTTGAAACCGAGGTTTCCTATGAGTCAGAAACTATGACTTATCAACAGCTTTGCAAAACAAGCCATGATGAAACTCAGATTTTACTTTCATCTTTCTTAGAAAGTTTAGGGAACTTGATACAACAGGGGGATGAGGAGAGAGAAGCCTTTTTTTTCTGCTCCCTCTCCCTGAAACTGTATGTAAGGGCTTCCTGTTGGGCAAGCAACCTGCTATGTTCATTTGATGGGATCCTTTTTTTTGATTTTGGTTTGTTTGGGGTTTTTTTTAAACTTTTAGATAATTTTAGTGATAAATTTAAGAAGTAGGTTTCTCTTCTCTCCTGCCATGTGCCAGACCACATGCCACTGACACTTTGCAAGGTGATCTTCAACCAATTTGGGTGGCAACAAGTCACCAGTACTATTTTAGTTCACAGCAGCCTTATTTTGGGACTGACTGGCTGCCTTTCATTCAGTTCTCTAGCTGTCCTGAGAAGCAGCAGAATGAATCTGAAGCAACTAACCTGCTTCCATGTCCTTGCAGGTTTGTTTCTCAATAACACAATGACAAGAACCTTCTTATGCCTGCAAACTTGCTTTCTGTAGAAGGTGTGAGCAGGACACTGGACCCATTCCCCATTGTCCCCCAGCATTCAGAAGGCATCTCATCAGGACTTTTAATGAAGTCTTAAAATTCAGCTGAAGTCAGTACTTGGTAGGCAGCTAAGTGCTCTTGCAAAACCCAATGCTGAGTAAAAAGAAAACATGCTTTGCTACCTCTGTAGCTGACAGGGGAAAAGAACTAGTATAGATAAAAACTGGACTGAACTGCACATGCAACACTATCTTTGTTATAGGCTCACTATGATTTTCTTATTTATTTTTTAATCATTGCTACATACATATGTTGAGGCAACAACATGACTATCTGGCAAATGGTCATTACTGTAGACTTTGCTTTGGGGAGCAAAAGCCTGTAAAAAAACCCAAACCAAACAAAAAACAGGCTCCATCATGGTCAATTCCTAATACTGGCCTACTTGGTCAGAGATCTTACAGGGAAATGGAAAAATAGAACATGTTACATGTGTTTTTGTGAGTCATTTGTGAACTGTTCCACTGGCTGACATGATGCAGTGACTGTAGCTTCACCTTTGCATCATTCTGTTTTGCAAGTTTCGTACACCAACAGTGAAAGGTCTTGAGCTTCTGGAAGCAGAAAAACTTTTCCCATTCTCTTTACACCTTTGAAAGTTCACTTTTTTTTTTTAGGTTACAGAGGTTTTTTTTTTTTTGAATTGCACTCCTTTATTTCTGGCAGCACGAACGTGCAATAGGCATGCACCACACAATGTAAGAGTGTTGTGAATTTAAACATGGGAATTGTATTCTGCTATCTCACTACCCACATCACACCACCCACCTGTGAGTTTGGGTAACATCTAGGTAATCAGTGTCTCCAACTTTTAACATCTATTCCAATTCACACGGATGAACTACAAACTATAAAGCAACATATCTGAAATTCAGATGTTTCAAAAGGAGTGAGGCATTTCTTTGGGAACAAGCTTCGTTTTCAACCTTTGTGCAACTAGGCTTTTTAATGCTAAAAGACTGCTTTGTGGTCCCCAAATGTGTACATCATATCTGTAAAGAGCACAGTTATTTATGCAAACATAAAGCTTTCATTTCAAAGCAGAACATAAAAGTGTTTCAATAATGTAGGTCACATCAGCAAAGGCTTTCTAGAAACTTCTGCCGTAGAAAAAAAAACCACAATGCTTTGAGAGGGGACAGTTCTACTGGAGCATGCTCTAATCCACCAGAAAGTTTCCACTGTGATTTTCCTCAGTCTTTGGGACAAGCATGAGAATGATCACATTCAGTGGTAGTCAGTTTTGTTTTCCATGCATGTGGAAATAGTCCTAAGAATTAGGACTCCCTTTAGCTTCATTATTTCAACACGGTTGATGAGCAGTTATCTTCTAAAACAACCTGGAGCTACCTTTAAACAACACGGAAATAGTTTTACTTCATGGGACTATTTCCATGTTTTTTTAAAGGCAGTTCCAGGTTGTTTTAGAAGATAACTGCTCATCAACTGTGCTGAAATAATGAAACTAAAGATAATCAGTAGTACAAAGACATTGATACATAAGCATATATGTTAGTACAAGTTTACAATCATCCTGACTCCAAGAGCCCTTTTTGTCAAGGCTGAATTCCTGTAAAACATTTTGCATTTCCCTCGTCCCTGTGGCTCATCAGTCCTGTGCTAAGAAGCAAGTTCTTTCCACGTCCGTATCTCAGTGGAATGTTACAACATAATGCTAGTTTCTTCCCCAGAGATGATAGTTAACTTCTCCCAAGCACTATGAATTCTCACACTAGCTTTTTATTTAAATGTATAAATATTTGAATGCTGCTTGACCTACCTTTCCAATACCAGCATCACATCTGCATTCATACACAGCAGAACTGCAAACGTGGTTTTGGTATAACCACCTACCGATTCAGATGTATGTGGCTAAGTGACAAATCATCACTTCAACTTAAGAGTTAAGACTACGTAAGAAAGTTTACAGAAAAGTGATAATTATTTGTGAGTATTTACAGATTTACACAATATAGGTGAAGCATGAAGCATCCTGCCCATAGGATACAGTTAGCGTTGGAAGGACTTTTTGACAGTGTCATGCAAAATACACCTACAGAGTGCACACTGCAGAAGTCTCCCCGCCATAAGTCTAAACGTGGAACGAATGGGAGAAGAGCAGCTTTGTCTGAAGAGCAAGTTTCAGCACCAAATCGGTGGACAAATAATATTTCTTGGCACAATCTATTTAGGACTTCTAAATATATCCCTGCTATTTATGCAAAGATTATCCTGTTCGAGCAATTTGTAGAAACTCAGCACAGTCACATCTCAAAGCTTACATATTGTCATGTACACATAAAGCAAATACAAGGACAGAAACTATTAAAGTGTGAATATGTTTTCGCTAATCTTTAACCACAAACACTAAAAATAGATGTTCATAGTCAAGCAGTTTAATAACTTTCAATTTTGGACACATGCTTTAAGCGACGGATCTGCAGGACCACTTAAAGTTAAAAATTAGACTTCTAAGACATCTATTAAAATCAGTAGATGCAAGGATCTTTAAAATATGCTCCTTTACATGTCTCCTTGTATTCTAAAAAAATGTAGCACCACATGATGGGGGCCAGAAACCAAAGTCACAAAGTCTGTAGTCAGTTTTAAGTACAGTCTTAGCTGGCTTCAAAAAAAACGACTCTGTAGCTTTGACCTTGCTGAATTAACAGATTTTTTTTTTCTTTAAAAGCTCAATTTAAGAAACTTTAAAAAAAAAATCATTACCCAAACTAAAATGTTAACATGTTCTATTTTTTCACCTTAAAACTGACCTGAATGAAAGTGTGTTCTAAGACTAGAAAGTGACAGCTGATTTAATAATAAAAGTATTCAGACTTAAAGTGTCTGAATGTAGTATTTGGTGTTGATGTTAGCAGTAATAACCTAACAATTAAGTACATTATATATGCTATAATATCATTTTTGCTAACATCTAAACTTCAAGTCATTCTCATTTCAGTGAAGACATACTATAATCATAAGCCCCTGTTGAAACCATAACTACTGTAAATGAGAAACTTAATATGAAAACCTATGACAACTACAATTTTAGCTCTACAAAAAAAGCAAGGAAGACGACTTAAAAGTAGACACATGCAATTGCTTGGTTACTTTCCATAGTGTCATTAGTGGTAAAGATGAACTGTAATGTCTGGTAGA